GTAGGAAACAACGTCACAGGAAATCCGGTTTCGCGAGAAGAGATACTTCGGAGGAGGCCTTCTCGTCGTTCCAAGCCTCTTTAATCGGTCTTCGATCGACATCTGAGGTCAAACATTGCTAATAGATTCATTATTATAAAGGAGAAGCTTTTTATGAATTCTGCTCAGTCTCCCATGGAATTCGATACCATGACTTGTTTCTTGGATCCCACCTCCACTTTTTCTGTAATTCTGCTCAGTCTCCCAAGGAGAAGCTTTTTATGAATTCTGGTAGCCCACCTCCTTTGCGCAGATGCTATTTTTGTTGGTGGTCTTAGGACCTTCTAAGGTTCCGTCTCCAAATGGCTGACTGCCATGACGAATAAGAAACACGAAAGGGGGAGGGGGGAGAGGAGAGTACAGGTCGAGAGAGAGGTTTTCTCAGAACACATAACACAAGTTTTCTACTGCTACTGTTCCGTCTCCGAATCTTTGTCTCCAAATCGCTTCCACTCTTGTCGTTCTGTTACTGCACAAAAGCAAGTTCTTTTTCTTCTCTTGACAGTGAAATGGGAAACATGCTCTTCTTTAATTACAGAGTCCAGGATTCTTATCAACAGTAGGGGTAGTGTTAGTCTATTTTCAAACAGTAAGGGTATACTTAATCAATTAGCTAAACCATAAGGGTAGTTTAAGAAATTTACCCTACTAAAAATTACTTACCGAAAATTACCGATTTTGGTAATTTGATTTCATAAGTGTTTGAAAATTAATTATTGAAATCAATAATTACTGAAAAATGAATAAATAATTAAAATATTAATAAATAAAATTTTACATTTTTAGTAATTTTTATTTTCAGTAATTTGAATAAACATAAACTTATTATTTTTACATTTTTAGTAATTTTGATATTATCAAAAATTTTTTAGAAATAATTACTTAATTGATATTTTCAGTAATAATTAAAAGATAATATCATATAATAATTAAAAAAACTTCAATGGATAAATAAAATATAAATTTACTTTTCACATTTTCAATAATTTTGATATTTTATTGATTTTGGTAATTTAATTACTAAAAATTACTTTTTTGGTAATTTAATTTAGCAAAAGTTAAGTTATAAAGCTTCCAATTATTCAAATAGATAATTGGAAAGTTTTAATAATTTTCATAATTATTGGATATTATAGTTATAATTGCCATAATTATTGGAACTATATTTATGGGTTTGGGGAATGACCCCCCAGGTAGGAATGGCAATGGGTGGGTTTGGGACCGACCTCGATCCTTGTCAGCAGAAAACGTAGCCCACATCTTGTGTCCCCGATAGAGATGGGTTCCCCATCGGGGACTTGAATCATTGAATTTTTTAATTAAAAGTTTGTTTTCAAAAAGGCATTTATTTAAAATAAAATAAAGTACATACATACATATATACATACATACATACATACATACATAACTACATACATACATAATCGGGGTCAGGTGGAGCATGGACTTCACTCCCCGTCCCCGGTTGGGTATTCCTATTAATCCCATTCCCACCCTATTCCTGCTAAGGCAGTCTCCATTCCCATCCTCGCCTGATCAGGGAGGTTGGGTACTTGATGGGGATGGGAAAATTGTCATCCCTACCCCTGGTCGGGTTGTGTAGCCATAAAGCAGCAATTTTTAAGCTCTATAATCTCTAACATCTTTTTCCCCTACATCACACAAGGGCCCACTAATATATCATATATGGTTAATAATTATTTGCACACATGCATAGTACATATTGTTATACTAGTATACATGAATCAATACACACATTAAATGCATTGTACAAGAAAATATAATTACAAGAGCGATATATGGTGTCCAAGTTGGGTTGGGTTGGCCAAGTTATCAACCCTTACCCAACTTGACTTTATATTGGATTAGCATTCTCCAACCCTAACCCTAACCCAACCCAACTTCCACCCCTCTCTCTTTATGAAATTGATTGAGAACACTTTAGAAACCAAAATATTCGGTCTTTTAGAAGTGATAGGAACAGGATTCCATTTAATGTGGTATAGATAGAAAGAACAATATTCTATGCAATTAAGAAACACAAAAAGAAGGTTAACGAAAAAAATAGAAGTGAAAGAAAGAATAATGCTGTTAATTTGGGCATCAAAATGAGAATTTTATAACATGAATAATGATACTCAAGACAAGCTATAAAGCAACCCACTGTTCTACATTTTCTACATTAAGGCCTCACTATCCAAGCTTATTTACAGCTTCCAACCTTTAAGTCATACAATACAAATATTCAGAGTGTTCCGTGTGAAAGCCTTTCTGCCACAACAGTATTGGAAATAAGTGCTGAGTTGGGTTTACTTTTAAAAAAAATTATTGAGTTTTGGACTTTTCTGATCTCCTTGGACCCAATTTAGGTAAAGAATTACCAGTTTTGATTTCTTCATCATATTGTTTTTTAAATGGTGATAACCAATAAACATTAAAAATCATGCAATAATGTTTTAAAAATCGCCTTGCAAGCTTAGTCATCGGTTTCTGCGAGTTAAAAAATAATTAAAATAAAAATTTGATTGAAGACGGTTGTCCATTTCAAATGAGTTAATGGTTCAATCGCGCAGATTAATGGATCGCTGACCAATTCAATAGTTTTTTTTAGGAAAATAGTGGTTAGAGATTTTTCTTTTTAGAAGTAGGACATTATCAACTAACCCTTCTACTACATGCCTTAGACAAGATGGGCAATATTGTAAATTCATAAATTATTTTACGAATAAGAAACATTCAATTGATAGACCAAATCCCAAAGATTTTTAGGGCTGCAAGTCAATCTTCTTAGACAATTTATTTAGGGCTGCAAATGGATTAGATCAAATTTGGATAAGAGTATATCCGAATCCAAACCAACACCTCATAAAAATCGACGTGATCCCATACCCTATGAATATGTAAAATATATATTCGAATTCAGTTCATACATATATACATAGATGCATACATAATATATATATACTGACCAATTGAAATATTAGTAAATTTATCAATATATAAACCCCAATTCCCTCTTAATTCAAAATAATTTTAATGCTACTTGATTGGTTAGAAAAATTGTGACATTGCTCTTAAAAAATGATGCTACTTGATTGTGAAGAAACTCTCTGTCCCTCTCCTTATCTACAACAACAGCAATTTAGAATAGAAAAAAAACTGAGATTGATTCCTTGGGAATAAGTTTATCTCTGCTTTATGGTACGGGTTCTCGAGCTCACATGATCACTCGCCAGATATTTTTCCCAAAAAAATCTTGGAATGAATCATCTATGAAATGAAACTTATCACAAATAAACTAGGTCATTAAGACTAAATAATTGTATGGTACTTAATATTCTATCTGGGAAAAGGACAAAAGTATTAATAGAATAAATAATACTTTTTTATTGAATTGGGTGGACAAATTTGTAAGATTTTGAAACTATCAAAATTGTGTTTTTTAAAATAAAAATAAAATTTCACTCTTCAAATGTATGAAAACACAAAAAACACATACACAATTAGGAAAAACAATCTATTTTTAAATCAGATGGTTTTCATTTGTTTTCGAAACCAACAAGAAAAACAATTCATATCGGAGAACATCCCTAAAATTTCCACCAATTTAATTCTCCAGTCCACATGAGCATTCCTATATGTTACTAGTGTACTTCTCACGAGTAATATTGGCTATTGAATGTGTTGATACTTTAAAATTAAAATTTTCTGCATGGTTTTCAAAATCGGACCAGACCGGACGGTCAAACCGGAAAAATTGGAAATCTCCAGTCTACATGAGCATTGTATCCTATATTTTACTAGTGTACTCACAAGTAATATTGGCTATTGAATGTTTTGATACTTTAAAATTAAACTTTTCGATCTGCATGATTTTCAAAATTGGACCGGACCGAATGGTTGGATCAGGAAAATCAGGAACTGGTCCGTTTTACCCCAGAACCAACTCTTATTTTGCCAAAAACTGTTGATTTGATCAGCAAACCGCTGACCCGGGTGGTCGAACTGTCTAACGGTTTTGGCGGTTTTTATTTTTATTTTTATTGTTTTCCATTCGACCTGGGAACCGGACCCCTGACAGACTCATTGTCCAGTTTGGTTTTAAAAACCTTGCTTTTCTGAAAGGACGAGCTGATTTAATTCTCCACATGGCAAGGGATTTAAGGCTAAAATTTGGGAGGACATTAAACTCATTTTGGAAGGAATACAAATACAAATATATACAGTACATATACATATAAAATAATACAAAATATAAGATTTTGCACTATAGACTCAGTTTGGAAGGAACACAAATACAAATGTATAATACAAATATATAGAGTGCAAAACCTTGTATTTTGTATGTATTTGTACTCTTTTCAAATGGAGCCTCAATAACCATACTTTTGCCCTGCAGGAGGGATGAATACAAATTGACCAATCTGAACTGTTTACCAAGTAGGGAACCCATTTGGATTTACCACCTGTTCAATGCTTCCACCCACATCAGCTTTATACCCAATCTTTTGTTACTCTTTTGGACATGTAATATTTTCCATTCAAAATTTTTCGATATATATTCTAATATCAAATTTATCCAAATATTATATACATGTTTTATTTTTGCCACATGGCAAGGGGTTGTAAGCTGAAACTTGTCCAATTAAGGGAGGAAGGCAGCAAGCTAAGAAATAACTGGGAAATTTTATTCTTGAAAGTGATTTTCGACATGAAAGATTCCTTAGTTGTTGATGAGCCTTTTTCAGTACTCGTATATATGCCATCGTAACATTAACATCAGGGAAAAAAGAAAGAAAGAATTGGTTCTTGGTCTCAAACCTAAATTCTAAAGTCTAAGAGCAGTTGGCATCAAAATAATGCAATGGAATCAACTATGACACGCCAATCACCCTCAAGGTTATCAGCTTCCACTACCCCTTATAAATATGGATTATGCCTATGCAGGTTTTTCACCCAAACTTCATTACATAGTTTCTCATCTGACAACTAGCAGGTTAATTTGTTTCTCTTTGATGATATCCTAACTTCAATGGATTTTCCATTATGATGCTGAAACCCTAATTTGTTTCTCTTTTTTTTTTGTGATTGAAATCCCTATTTAGAGGCCTTATGGTCACAGAATATTGATTGCATCTTTTGTATTGATTGTTGGGAGTTTACATCTGTAGTTCAGTACTTCAGTCTGTATAGAAGAGTACTTGATCCTGTTTGTAATGTTATAGGATTGGATTTGTACATGGTGATGCACCAACATTTTGTAGATAATTTAAGGGATGTTCTCTAATGTGAATTGTTTTTCCTGTTACCAGTTCCTAAAACAAATCGAAAGTGCCTGGTTAGAAAATAGATTGTTTCTCAAAACAAAAACATAGAAGTATAAATATGTTCTTGCTTGTGTACGTGCTTTTGTTTTCAAATGTTTGAAGAGTGAAAATTTGTTTTTGTTTCAAGAAGTATAATTTTGATGGTTTCAAAAACATGGTTTTCTTTTAGAAACAAACCATCTTGCGTCTATTTGGAGCCATTGTTGCTCTAGAAAATGGTGCCACATCAGTGCCATGTAGGAAAAAAACGGTGCTCTAGAAAACAACCATCTGTTTAGAACCATTTTTCCATAGAAAACAGTGCTCCAAGCCACGTCTTAGAAATCGGGAAGGCATGGCTTGGAGCAACGCCAAATTTAACGTTCCCTGGAGTTACAACTCGTTGCTGCCAACAGGGCAGTGATGTGGCAGTGGATAATGGGTAGAAGTGCAGAAAACGTTTCCTGGAGCATTGGTACCAAACAGAAAAAATTGTTGTTGCTCCAGGAAACGTCCTACCTGGCAACAACGATTCCAAACAAAAAAAGACACAATTTTCTAAGAAAACGGAGCTCCAAGCCACACATCAGCAGAAAATGGTGCTGCAACTGCAGCATCGATGCCAAACATATACCTTGTTTTCACTTTTCAAAAATAATTTTAGAACATATATTTGTTTTATCTTGGGTACTGTGGAAATTCGGAAACAAGTGAAAACAAAAGCATTCATATTATTGAATACCCCCTTAGAGGCTCCAATTATGTTCTTTCTTTTGTTGGAGGTTAGGCTGTACTTTTGGTTTGATAGAAACAGAAAGTTGAGGATGGGTGATCTCCTACATGGAGTTCTAGAAAGTTGTTGAAATTCTCTCTTATTTTCTATCAAACCAAACACAGCATCACCATCATCTATTCCAGCTTTAGGATGGGTTATCTCCTACATGTATAGAGTTCTTTGAAGCTTAAAATATGTTCTAAAACTCCATGTTCACTACATTCAATTCATTTCTGTAAATGTTTGTGCAGATAATTTTGTAGCTTCTACAATGGCCACAGCCTCACCCAACAATATCACCATGGTTTTAGTTGGGCGTAGTGGTGATGGAAAAAGTGCAACTGGCAACAGCATTCTTAAAAGGAAAGCCTTCAAAACAGTACGAAGTTCTAGTTCAGTTAGAAGTACTACTGAGATGCAATCATCTGTTCTACAAGATGGCCGAACTGTGAATGTCATTGACACTCCTGGTGGGGCTATTTTGATTGACTAATTCTTTCTCTACTTTGACTTCTGCTGAACATAAACCCTAACATGATCAAGTGTTTGCAGGATTGTTTGATTTTTCAGATGATTCTACAACTGCTGAAAAAGAGATTGCTAAATGTATTAATCTAGCAAAGAATGGGATCCATGCAATGCTTCTGGTCTATTCCGTTTCCACCCGTTTTTCAGAAGAGGAAGAAGCAGCAATTCGAGTCATAAAAGGTCTGTTTGGACAAAAAATTGCAGACTACATGATTATTGTTTTTACTGGTGGTGATTTGTTTGATGATGATGCTGATAAAGAATTCCAAGATTATTTGGCTGAATGCCCTAAGCCTTTTCAGGTAATAGAATCAACCTTTTGTGGTCTTTATATTTGTTTTTTCACTACGGCAATGTTTGGGAGTGCTTGCTTTAAAAATAAGTGCTTATTTGAACAAGTACTTATTTGCATTTGACACTCAACTTTTTCAAGTGCTTATTTTTAAAAAATAAGAACTTATTTTACATTGGGTGTTTGGTGGTCTTTTTCTCCAATAAACAATTAAATAAGCAATTGTGACTCTTTTCTCCTCCGTTTTCTTTCAAATTTTCAAAGCATCAAATCCAAAGTGAATGAATAAAAGTACTTTGATAGAAGTGCTTTTATAAAAGTATTTTTACAAAAAGTGCTTTCATATAAGTACTATGATAAAAGCACTTCCATAAAGTGCTTTTGTAAAAGTTTTTTTATAAAATCACTTATGTAAAAATGCTTTTATAAAAGTGTTTTCGTAAAAGTGCTTTTATAAAAGTACTTCTGTAAAAGCACTTTTTAAGTGCTTTCATAAAAGTGCTTTTATAAAAATACTTTCGTAACGATACTTTTATAAAAGTACTTTTTATAAACATGCTTTCATAAAAGTACCTTCATAAAAGTATTTTTGTAAAAGTGCTTTTATAAAAGTATTTTTGTAAAAGTGCTTTTATAAAAGTATTTTTGTAAGTGTTTTTATAAAAGTATTTTTGTAAAAGTGCTTTTATAAAAGTTCTTCCATAAAAGTACTTTTACAAAAGTGCTTTCGTGAAAGTACTGTATAAAAGTGTTTTCATAAAATACTTTCACAAAAGTACTTTTTTAAAAGTGCTTTCATGTAAAAGTACTTTTACAAAACTGCTTTTGTAAAAATACTTTATAAAAGTGCTTTCGTAAAAGTAATTTTATAAAGTGCCTTTGTAAAAGAGATAATTGGTATTCTAAAAATTCACTGGGGACAATTATGGGAGAAAAAAATTGAGTAAGTGCTTATTGTATGAACACTTGAAAAAAGTGGGAAATTTGGGCTTAAAAAATAAGCCCTTATTTTTAAAGTAAACATTTATTTCAGGCTTATTTTCCAAACACTAATAAGTGCTTAATGGTGTGGTCCTTGCCTAAATAAGCACTTATTTCCAGTAAACACATATTTTTAAGCACTCCCAAACATGGCCTACATATGATTGTCTTATTTGTAGATTTTCTAAAAGAAATAAGGTTATTTGGAAATTCTTTTATAATTTGTTATATTTCTTGTTTTTTTTTTCAAATCTGTAAACACCCCTAATTTTTCTGGTATTTTCTTAAACCTACCCCCACTTTTTTTAGGGTGCATGATGAATCTCCCGCCCCACATCTCAGTGGTTAAAATCTTACCTCCACTTGATACATTTTAGAGACCCCCCTGTTAAACACTTATATTTAAATATTTATAAGACACATACCTTTCCTTTAGGTCACTGTTAGGCTGTTTGGTAGAACTTAGGGTTGGGCCGGCTAGGGTTGAGTTAGGGTTAATTAAGTTGTGTTAGGATTGACCTCAGGAACCTAACCTGGCCAAACCTGCACCCTAGTTGTGGGAAAATTCTTAAGGACTTTTCACAAAATTAACCATGATAGACTAATATTCAACCTTATTAAAACACTTTAAAAAAGGCCCTATTAACTAATTTTTTTATGAAAAAAATACCCTTTATTTCTCTCTCATATTTTATGTTCTTTACTCATTTTAGTTTCTTTTATTTATTTTTGGGCTACAAAACGAGGGTAGCCCATCACCCCCAGCATAAGTGCAGGTGGAATTCGATCCCATGTCTCCTCTACAACCAGCAGGAGACCTTACCGACCAGTTGATTGGCACCTTGCTACTCGTTTTAGTTTTATAAATCAGGATCATTCACTTCATTCTCATTTGTTCCTTAAAGGACCTAACCTGGCCTGACTTGCAATCCTACCATTTTTTAAAACTCATCTAAACTGTTCAGTGGGTTAATTACTGGATTTTTGTATTATTATTATTATTATTATTATTATTATTATTATTACATTAATGACATCATGGGTTGATCTGGGTCAATCCATTGACCCAAATGGTTAAATCAACAGCATATGGGCCAGATTTTAAAAGACTGGGGCAAACAAGAAAATTCATAAATCTGGATAAATTTCTCATTATGCCTAGCATGATCATTCACATGTGAACCATGGCAATGGTGAAGAAGAACATTACAATATTGCATTATATCTTATTAATTCATTATTCAGTACTCTTTTTCATTTTCTAGTTGTACTGATGCAGGAAATTCTTCAGTCATGTAAACATCGAGTAGTTCTTTTTGATAACAAAACTAAGGATGAAAATAAGAGAAATTTGCAAGTAAGCAAATTACTCTCCCTCGTAGACAAGGTCATTAAGGAAAATGGTGGACGACCATATATAAATGAACCTTCTATTAAATTGCAGGTAAAGATTTTGTTAAATTGGCAGCTGTTATAATATATATATATATATATATATATATATATATTATCATGAGATGTCTTATACAAGCAATATTAATTTAATTTGTTTGACAGAAGGAATCTGAGATGCAAGGCAAGGAAAAGGAAGAAGCTGAGTCAAAAGTGTTGACTGGAAAAAAGATATCAATAATGCAAGAAGAGGTGCATAAGCCAAATGATGAAAAACTCTACCAAGTAAAGCAAATGGTATATATTTTCATTCCTCAGACTTCAGTGGTTTATAGATGATTGGGTTACCAGAAATTAAGTAAAGAAAATACTAGTAGTAATTGCAGAAGTCTTAATGGAAAGCCTTCTATTTTGGTTGTCATAAAATCAACTTAACAAAGTCCATCCAATGAAAATTCACCTTTATTTTTCTAACATTTCCCTTTGTGCAAGGGTCTATTGGGGTTGAAGTGTGGATTATAGGTTCACCCGTATTTTGTATAGAAATTTAATTAATTATAATGGGGCAACAAGGATTGAACACTAAACCACTTGGTCGAATAGGTTCTGATACTATCTTCAACGAACCATTCAACCTAAAAGTTTAAACTATTAGGTGAAGTCCTTGAATATGTTTTATTGATCAGATTAAACATGTACGATTATTGCTTCAAAAATTTCAGTTGGTCATTGGGAAAATAGTCCTTATTTAAATTTGTGCACTTATTTAAATTTGCATATGAGTACCACTTTCAAGTGCTTTATCTTCCCAAACAGATCATGTTCTTTTCATTGCAGGAAAGCCCATCCTACATGGATTAGGTGCAACCCATGTTCACTCGAGTTAGCATTTTACATTGCTTTGGGCCGGAATTATTCAAATTTTGACAAAAATCCAACCTGATCCTACCCAAGTTTCACCCCTACTTAATTTTTATATTTTCCGTGGAGGTGGAATGCCCACAAGGATCACTGTTTTTTTTTTATCAGTTATTGGACGATTAACCCATTCCCACCATAGAGAGATGGTTATTTAACCAGGGACATGTCGAGATCGGCTTCAGTCAGTACAAACCCTTAAAATAAAGCATATAAGTACCAAGATATTTCCAATGCAAGGCTGTAAAGCTGTTCGAACGGGCTTTGCACTGACTGAAGGCAAACTATTCACAAGTTCTAACCATTTTATATATATTTGGTTGTCTTTCACCATAGTCATCTATTCTATTCACAATGTTATTTGTTGTGCAGGTTGGGATGAACTCCAGAGACAAGCCTCAAACAGAACAAGACCAAAGCAGAATTGCACCATCCAATGCAGTAGACAGAGAAAAATCAAGAGAAGAAATTCATCAAAATCATGCCCCGCACTCAGGCCCATTAACTGAGATGGCTCCCTGTGAGTTCAAGTTTTTTGGGGTAATCAAGTGCAATAAATTCACTTGTTCTCTGCTCTGACCCCAAAAGTAAATAAAAGAAAAGAAAACATGCACAATTTGAGTTTATCAAAGACGTCACTTGTGCTAGAGTCTTCTAATGAGTTCTGAAACTTGATCATTATACTCCATCCACCATATTGTTCACAGACGGCATTAGGTCCTTTAATTACTATATATATAGTAATGTAAACTGTGAGTCAACAAGGATTTGAGTCCTTCATCTTCAGTTAAAAGAAACAAATCCATCACTACTTAATTGTCATGGTTATATTCTGGGTATTAACTTTTAACTATATTTTCTCTTCCTACCTAGTGAATGTTGAAAGTTGATTTTAAGCATTGGAAAACATCTCAGTTGGACTGATTTGGAATAGCCAATGAATTGGGAGTGATTGACCTCCTTAGTAATATTTATCAAAGATAATTTTTCATTATTTCTTATAGCATGATTTTCAAATCGCCGTTGATCTGGATGGTTGGACCGTTCGGACCAGAAACCACCAGGCAATGGTTCTATTTTTCCCCAAATCCGGTTCTTGGTCAAAAACTGTTGAATTGGTCAATAACTTATTGACTTGGGTGGTCGAATTGCAAACCCAGATGACCCATTCAATGGTTTTTTACCGTTTTTATTTCAATTATTTTTTTAAATTTCTTATTAAAACGGGCCATCCATTTGAATCAAATAGTAGAATCAGAAACTAGTAGCCAGAATAATTCCAATTATAAATATTTATTAAAACATTGTCTTATAATGACTTAGACGTTGAGTGCATTTGTCAAACTAGCTTAGGTGGAGAGGAAAGGAATTAAGCACCCCTCTCCCATTTCCATTATTAGATGGAGCCCACATTGGGAAATCCGAAGAAAATGACATGAACACGGCATGGAATTATCAAATGGTGTTATAAGCTGAATATTGCTAAAACAAAAGTCATATGAACTAATTACTAAGGTGATGTAGAAACGTGTTTGCCTAAAAAAGTATAATTAATTGTTTAATGAGCTAGTTTCTATTAATTTTCTACCCCTTCCCCATCAATGGGTCAACTGCCTACTGAATTCAAACTCATGCATGCTAGGAAACATGGTTTTCAAAATCAGACCGAATCGGATGGTTGGACTGGAAAAACTGGGAACTGATTACTTCACCAGTTTCATTTTTCCTCCAAACCGTTGATTTTGGTCAGTAAATCGTTGAACTAGCTAGTTAATTGTTCAAACCATTCAAATTGTTTTAACCGTTTTTCAAATTTTTTAATTTTTTTGTCAAAACGGACCAACAGTTCAAATCAAACGATTGGACCGTCAAACTGATAACCGGACCCCTGACCAAAAGTTGAAGACAGTATTCATAGTATTTAAAAAAATGTTAGATATGAAATACCAATAGAGAAAGAAAAGCTAACCGAATGGAATTTATTTGAAGGATGGAGAAAAGAACGACATAACAGGGAGAGTAGCTTCTGTGATGTTGATTGAGTGGAAGGGAATCCATTGATCGAAGCAACAAGTAATGTTGGAGGTCTTGCTGCTTGGTCTAGCCAATGGTGGTGATCCATTCAGTCATAGTAACAATGAGTAAGTGGAGGAAAACAAGAAGAGAGAAGGGGTAGGAAAGAGGAAATTAGGAGGGGACCAGGGAAAAATGAAGGTATTTTTTTCTAATGAGATTTTACAGGGTGGAGCTTCTAAGGGTCCTCGATTGACTGGTGGGTCTGATTGGTCAAAATGAATGGATCGAATCCTGGCTTGATGGAGGGGTAAATAGAAGAATTTTGAATTGGAAACTGATGGATAAGTGTTTTGTGATATCTAGAGTTTATTAGTGGTGTTTGATGGGTTGAAGTTGGGTTAGAGGGGTAGATCTAGGGTTTGCAGGTTTTGACCAATAAAGTAGGTTAAAATGGAATCTTGATCTAGGGTTTTGACTTGTAGAGGGATGAATTGGCCAATTTAAACTGTTTATTAAGTTTCTACCAATAAAAGTGGGAAAATTCCACTTTAGTACCTTGAAATTTGGGGGTAGTGTTGAGTTAGTACCCAAACTTTCAAACATGTTTTTGTAGTACCTAAACTTTCAAAAAGTGACAAGTTGGTCCCTACCGTTAACTGACCATCAATTATCTGTTGAAAATGTCATAACTGCCCTTCAAAAGAATTCGAAAGAAGACACTATTCATTGTCTTCTACCTTAAGACTGAACTAATTGAGGTGTTTGAGATTCTAGATTGGGTATAACTCATGAGATTAACCTTGAAAGGAAACCCCAATTTATTGCTTTTTCCTGTTCTTCAAAGTGTTTCAATATTAAAGAAACTGTCGAGTGTTTCAATTGGTTCCATAACCCCAGGCCTCTCTCTTACCACTACGGTGTTCAACGAAATGGAGATTTTCTCAATCTGCAGACTGGAAAAGTACTTCTCCCACTACCAAGGTCGTAGATAGCCAGACGGTAAGGATTTCGTGCCAGAGGACCTAAATTTCTTGCCCTGGTTATATTGAAAGTTATAGTTTGTTAAAAGCTGCAATTGGATTATAATATTGCATATATGTATGTAGCATAAATATATAAAATATAATATCTATCTAATACAAGCTCGCAATTTCAGTTTGTTTAGGTTTGACATCTGGTAGGCTTGTTAACTTCTTGTTTTTGATCCAAGCATAAATCTTATTTTCACTTTGAATGGGGTAGATGAGTTCAAATATTTCTTTGCAAAGTTTGGAGAGGTCAAGGAACATCAGGACCATGCTACTAGCCGTTCTCATGGTTTTGAATTTATTACATTTGAGACTAAGCAAGCTGTTGATGATCTCTTGGCCAAGGGCTACAAGTTAGAGTTTGCTGGAGCTCAGGTGAGTACAAAACCTATTAGAAGTATAATTCTGATAAGTTAGAAGTATGATCTCTTGCTAAAGTTGCTTTTGGGGAAGATAGTGGATTCTTCCTCAAATGAGAAGTTATGTTGAATTCAGATGATAAAAAATCAGGGTTTCCTTTCAAGGTTAATCTCATGAGTTGTATTCAGTCCGGAATCTTGAATACCTCAGCCGGTTCAGTTTTAAGGTAGAAGATAATGAACAGTGTCTTCTTTTGAAGAAGGGCAGTTTTCACATTTTCAACAGTTAATTAACGGCAGGGACCAACTTGACACTACCCCAAAAGTTCGGGGTACTAAACTGGAATTTTCCCATGAAAAAAGAAAGCTGATTATCAGGTAAGGGACCGTCTAGATTCACCACCCGTTCAATTCTTCCATCCACATCATCCTTGTACTACTACACCTTTTCTTACTGTTTTGGACAAGTAATGTCTTTGCCACTGAATGTTTTTTGATATTCTAATATCAAATTAATGTATCCTAATTACATGTTTTATTTTTGCCACATGGCAAGGGGTTTTAGATTTAAACTTGTTAAACTTATGGTCTGTTTGGGAGTTTAAGTGAAGAATTAGCTAAGCTGGTTCAGCTGCTTTGAAGCACTGGGCATAAACTACTTAAAAAGGTCAAAGTGGACAGCCCTTCAAAATGACTCACTGACAACTGGTTTGGGCTCTAGAAATTTTCAATAAACATAGCCTATAGGCTGCCTGTGTGGGGCTTACCTCAAAAACACAGAATCTGCTGCACTTCAACCCTCAACGAGCACTAAGAACTTGTGAGAAAACTTTGAGCCTCAAACCAATTTTCCACATGGAAGATTGTTTTGTTGTTGATGAGCCTTTTTCACTACTCGTATATATGCCATCATAACATCAGAAATAAAAAAAAAAAGCTGATTCTTGGTCTCAAGAATAAATTCTGAAGTCTAGTTTGGCATTCGAATAATGTAATGGCATCAACTATGTATGACAAACCAATCACCCTCAAGTGATAAGCTTCCACTATCCCTTATAAATTTGGATTATGCCTATGCATTTTTCACCCAAGCTCTGTCTCAAGAAACCTAGAGTCTTCAAGCAAACAGAACCCTTTGATTTCTAAAGTAAAGTTTCCCATCCTTACTGAAAATCATTGCATAGTTTACCAAGCTGGTTTGTTTCTTTTTGCCTAAGCCAAGATTGTTAATTTCAATGAATTTTCCTTTATGATGTTGAAGTGTCTCTTCTTCTTTTTTCTGCCATTGAAATCTGAGAGTTTTTATCTGGAGTTTAGAACTTTAATTTGTACAGAAGAGTACTTGGTCTTGTTTATAATGTTATTATTTTAACAGACCCCAAATAAATATTTATCCACAAAAATCTCAACAACTGACCCTTATCCACCCCAATGACTCCCCTATATTTCTTTAATTACTTTGTCCCATGGGCCTATTAGTGGATCTGTAACAAAATTTCCCTTGACTTTTTTGTTAATTCTCTCTCTCTCTCTCTTATTTTCTATCAAACCAAACACAACATTACCATCCTCTATTCCAATATAACTTTAGGTTGGGTGATCTGATATTCTACATAGAAATCTTGAATTGAAACTAAAAACATGTTCTAGAACTCAATGTTCACTTCATTCAATTCATTCTTTCTAATGCTTGTGCAGATAATTTTATACCTTCTAGAATGGCTTCACCTAACAATATCACCATGGTTTTACTTGGGCGTACTGGTAATGGCAAAAGCTCAACTGGCAATAGCATTCTTAAAAGGAATGCCTTCAAATCACAACATGGTTTTAATTCAGTTGGAAAGACTACTGAGATGCAATCTTCTGTTCTGCAAGATGGCAAAACTGTGAATGTCATTGACACTCCTGGTGGGGTTATTTTGATGGATCAATCCTTTTCTATTTTGCTTTAGTTTCTAAGGCTAAGTTTGGAAGGAGTACAAATGCAAATATGTAGAGTGCAAAACCTTATACTTTGTATTCATTTATGCTGTACATATTTGCATTTGTACTCTTTCCAAACTGAGCCTAATAGGGTTTTAGGCTTCTGCTGTGCGACATAAAATCTTAACATGATTAAGTGTTTTGTAGGACTATTTGATTTTTCAGTTGACTCTGCAACTGTTGAAAAAGAGATTGTTAAGTGTATTGATCTAGCAAAGAATGGTATCCATGCAATGCTTCTGGTCTGTTGTGCTTTCACTCGTTTCTCAAAAGAGGAAGAAGCTGCAATTCAAGTCATAAAAGATCTGTTTGGACAGAAAATTACAGAATACATGATTATTGTTTTTACTGGTGGTGATTTGTTTGAAGATGATGATGCTGATAAAGAATTCCAGGATTACTTGGCTGAATGTCCTAAGCCTTTCCAGGTAATACTTAAAATCTTTAATCAACCTTCTGTGGTCTTTATATTTGGTTTATCACTTTATTTCTGGGTTAGACTATGGTGCCGTAAAGACGTGATACTAGAAAATTTTACATTTACCACCAATTAACCGGCATCATAAAAGTAGGAATCAGTCAGGTGGGTTTTCATCAAAATTCACAGGGGGTTGTGATTGGTTAAAACCATTCCGGTTTGATATCTTTCCGGTATCATAGGTTTAATTTATTAGAGGGGAGGGGGGGGGGGGGTTTACACTATGATGCCGGAAAAACATGATACTGGAAAAACTTACAACCAATCAATTGGAATCATAAAAGTAAGAACCAATCAAGTGGGTTTTCATCAAGATTCACAGGGGTTGTGATTGGTTGAAACCTTTCCACTACAATGCCTTATTAAAATTAAATCTATGATATCGAAAGGGTTAGATTATTTTGCTGGAAAGATATGATACAGGAAAACTTACAACCAATCAATGGGCATCATTTTCATTTGTTTTTATAATGTGGCTCGATTTGCACCCCTACTGTACACCTATGTTAACCCATCTGACCCGTTCAGTGGGGATTCTTTACTAGATTCTTGTATTATTTTATATACCTTTTTAATTGAATCTTTTATGTTGATGATACCTCCGGTTGATCAGTTGATCCAGATGATTGAACCATTAACCTAATGACTCAGAGAAGAAAACAATTTGAGTTTTAAAACATCTAGGAAAAGTCGATCGATACAAGAAAAATCATGAATATGGTTCAATCTCTCATCTCTCCATGAATTTAACATACAAGAAATTACATATCTCTGAGTAATTAATTGAATATATCAAAATGTTGTGAACGTGAAATATTTCTGAGTTTTCCTTTTCATTTTCTGGTTGTTATTGATGCAGGAAATTCTGCAGTTATGTAAACATCGAGTAGTACTTTTTGATAACAAGACCAAGGATGAAAATAAGTGTGATTTGCAAGTTAGAAAATTACTCTTTCTCGTAGACAATGTCATTAACGAAAATGGTGGGAAACCATATACAAATGAGCATTTTATTAAACTGCAGGTGAAGATTACATCTCCCTCATTTGTAAAATTGGTTATTATATATATTATCATAAGAATTGTCTTTTACAAGAAATATTTGTTTGACAGAAAGAAATCGAGATGCAATGCGAGCAAAAGGTTAAATGAGAAGGAAATAATACAAATGGTATATTTTCATCCCTTAGATTTCACTAATTTATAGATGATTGGATTACCAGAAATTAAGTAAAGAAAATCAAGACAAAGTTATTATATATTTTTTTCCCAACAAGATCCTTATTTGTTCTTGCCCTTACTTCAAGAATCCGGTGTTCCAAAGTCCAAATAACAGCATTGGATGGAATGGGCTCATAGATATGGACATGTGCATGGTTTCATGAATAATGATTCTGTATTAATATATAGTTCAGGGATACTCTAAATCTGGTCTCATTGAATTCAACCACGGCTGGATGCATGTTCAATCCATATAATGTTATATATATATATATATGTTGATTCACATTTACAGGTGTCAGCTATATTGGCAACGTGAGTACAACATAACCATTGGGTACTTTAGGCCATGCTTGGGAGTGTTTAAGTTAAATATAAGTGTTTATTCAAATAAGCACTTATTTGCATTTGGCATCCAACTTTTTCAAGTTCTTATTTTTTTAAAATAAGTATTTATTTTATATTGGGCATTTGGTAGTCTTTTCTCTAATAAGTACTTAAATAAGTATTTGTGACTATTTTGTCCTTCATTTTCTTTCAAATTTTCAAAATATACCCTTTGAAAGCACTTTAAGAAAGTACTTTTATGAAAGCATTTTTACAAAAGCATTTTTGTAAAGTGCTTTCCATAAAAATACTTTCATAAAATTGCTTCCGTAAAAGTAGTTTTATAAAAGTGCTTTTTCTAAAAATGCTTTCATAAAAGTAATTCTATAAAAGTGCTTTTGTAAAAATGCTTTCATAAAAGTACTTTTATAAAAGTTTTTTTGTAAAAGTGCTTTCATAAAAGTCCTTTTGTAAAAATGTTTTCATAAAAATACTTTTATAAAAGTGCTTTCATAAAGTATTTTAAAAAAAGTGCTTTTATAAAAGTACTTTTATAAAATTTAATTAGGGATAATTTTACAAGTGGTATTTTAAAATTCAACTAGGGACAATTTTGGAAGAAAGAAAATGAATAAATGCTTATTGTATAAGCACTTAAAAAAACTGGAAAATTGGGCTTAAAAATAAGCCCTTATTTTTAAAATAAACACTTATTTCATGTTTATTTCCCAAATACCAATAAGTGCTTAATGGCCCAAATAAGCACTTCCAAACATGGCCATAGTGTGAAATTACATTATGGAGATTATTTTGCTTCTTTATTTTTTTATTAGAGGTCATGTTGTCTGTGTTATTTTGTAGCCTGAAATTTTAAATTTTGGTTAGTTGTTGATTATAAAACACTTATTAGAAATTTGCTTACCAATGTTCACATGGTATGGTAGCTTGAAACATAGAATATTTTTTTTTCGTTTTGGGGCTTAGAAAAAGCCAAGTCTGAGCCGGCCCATGAACAGAATTTAGAGATGGTAATTTTTCCCATTTTCCCAATCCCCATGGGGATCCGCCCCGAATGGGGATGATTTTCCCCTTACGGGGACGGGGATGGGGAAATTTTAATCCCCATTAGCAGGGACGGGGAGAGCACTCCCTGCCCCACGGGGACCCTGATCCTCACCCCATGGGATCCCCACTAATATATATGTATATATGTATGCATACGTTATATTATGTATATATGTACACATACATCTATATATTAATATTTTTAAAAATATGGTTGAATATGTTTGAATCTTTTCTAATAGGATTGTTAATTTTAATTATTTTTTTATTTTTTTAAATAAAATAAAAAACAAAACCAAAATAATTAACATTATAAAAAGTCACGGAGAATGGGGATCCCCGTGGGAATAACCTTGTCCCCGTTAATGGGGATGGGGACGGGCATGAGGAGAGGCTCCCCGTCCCCGCCCCGCCCCACCCCACCCCACCCCGTTGCCATTCCAAGAACAGATCTATCTTGTATTGATGTCACGCCTTTTAGGCATACCAGCTGGACTTCACAGCCCATTCGTCCTTTTTATCAACCAAACTTGATAATTGTTTTATGGGCTGTGACCAATCATTTTGTGTCGCAACCCTTTAGTTTTGCCCATTATAAGCCCAGGAGGCCAAGAGTACAGCCTATGCTTGGGTTGTTTCAATAGAATAGAGTCACAGACGCCCACAATTTTGCCAATGCCCCTTCAAACCCCCCTCCCATCATTTCTTAAAACAAATCATGGATCTTTCTTCATTGATCCATTGCGTTTGGTTGCTGTGTAAATTTTGATTCGATGCAAAATTTGACCTGGTTCAGTCTTGTTTCCATTTGTTTGTAATTTCTGATATGCGGTCCTACATTATACAAAATTTATACCTTTTGTCTCATTTGTACTCACTAACACTAAAAATAAGACAAAATCAAATCTGAAGCAAAAGTAAGCCAGAATTTATACTCAATCCTTTTGCACTTTTAGACATTTACACTAGTTCAAATGAAATTTGTACTGCAATCACATGATCTTCTGACGAGAACCTCTCTTGGTTGCATGCCCCCTCCTTCAAAATAGACTTTGTGTTGTGCAAATTACGCTATAGTAATAGAAATGAATGTAAAACCATTCCCATGACAGCAAGAATCTTTCCCCCAAATTTGTGTGTCAAAATGTGTTTGTCAATAACAATAATAACAAGTAAACAATTCAGCCAAGTAACAGTAAAACAGATAACAATCATGATACAATAGCACACCGGAATTTTTACATAGAGAACCCCAAAATCGGGGAAAAACCACGGGACCTATCGTCCGTAAAAGTCTTCCACTAATTCAAAAATTAATGGGTACAATAGTCTTCTCTAGTTGCAACTAGAGGCTTACAAACATCAAATAAATAATCATTGGCTCACAAGAATAGCATTAACATCACCAAATGCAAGGTGGATACAACACAAACATAAGTTTAGATCTCACCAAGTTGCTGTAAATCTGAACCGAGAAGTAGAGAAAAGGAAGAAGAATATCAAATCTGAACTGGAGTGGGATTCTTAACTCCAACACTTAATATCATCAAGAACGGGCTTGAAAGGCACCTCCGAACTTAATATTGAATGGAACAAGAGCCAACTTTTTCCTCTTCTTCACAAAACTCAAAGAACCAGATAAAACCTTTCTTTTTGGTTCCGTATTTATTTTTCTTCTTCTTCGTTCTTCTCTATTCGGTGGTTGACGCCACTCAAAAAAAATAACAAAACCGAAAATGTGGTAACCACTTTACCACTATTCGGCTCCCTTTTCTTTAGGGAGCAAATAAAGGTGGGGTAGGCCCCTCCATATGGGCTGGACCCACATCCAACAATTCTCCCCTTCCAACTCATATGGGAGGTTTCATCAAGCCCGCAACTTCTTTGCAGAATTCAAATTTGTCTCTAGGCAATGACTTTATTAATATGTCTGCACCATTCTCATCAGTATGAATCTTCTCAATGTTTAACAATTTCATATCCAACACATCCTGAATCCAGTGGTACCTTACACCAATATGTTTGGATCTTGAATGGAAAGTTGGTTTTTTAGAGAGATAGATAGCATTTTGACTGTCACAATAAAGAGCATATCATTTTTGCTCCATACCCAATTCTTGTAAAAACTTTTTCAACCATAGGATCTCCTTACAGGCTTCTGTAGTTGCAATGTATTCAGCCTCTATAGTAGACAATGCAACACACTTTTGAAGTTTGGATTGCAATGTAATTGCTCCCCCTGCAAAAGTCATTAAATATCCCAAAGTGGACTTTCGAGAATTAACATCACTAGCCATGTCTACATCAGTATACCCATCCAACATGACTTTACTATTCCCGAAGCATAAGCATATCTGACAAGTACCTCTGAGATAACTGAATATCCATTTTACTGTTGTCCAATGTTCTTTGTCGAGGTCAGAGAGAAATCGACTAACTATACCAATAGCATGAGCAATATCTGACCTCGTGCACACCATAGCATACATTAAACTGCCAACTACCGAAGCATAAAGCACTTTCTTCATTTCAGCTTTGTCTTTCTCACTTATAGGACATTGTAGTGTTGAGCTTGAAATGACCTGCAAGTGGAGTAGTCACTGGTTTTGCATTGATCATGTTGAACCTCTCAAGAACCTTCTCAATATATTTTTCTTGAGATAACCATAACTTCCCATTTTGTCTATCTCGAGAAATCTTCATACCAAGAATCTGTCTAGTTGGTCCTAAGTCCTTCATTGCAAAAGACTTGCTAAGCTCATTTTTCAACTTGTCAATCTTGTTAGAATCATGTCCAACTATCAACATATCATCAACATAAAGTAAGAAAATAATGAAATCACCATCAGAAAATTTCTTTACAAATACACAATGATATGAAGTGGTCCTAGTGTACCCATGATTAACCATGAAGGAGTCAAATTTGTTGTACCACTGTCTTGGTGCTTGTTTCAACCCATACAAAACTTTTCTTTAATCTGCACACTAAATGTTCTTTTCCTTTTTCTTTGAATCCCTCTGGTTGCCCTATATAGATTTCTTCTTCCAAATCACCATGAAGGAAGACAGTCTTCACATCAAGTTGTTTAACTTCCAAATTTAGACTTGCAACTAGTCTACGCACAACTCGAATAGAAGACATTTTCACCATAGGAGAGAATATTTCTTCAAAGTCAATACCATTTTTTTGACTGAAACCCTTCATAAGTAGCCTTGCCTTGTATTTTAGTTGTGAACCACTTTCATCAGATTTCAATTTATAAACCCATTTGTTTTTTAGTGCCATTTTCCCCTTTGGTAATTTCACCAAATCATAAGTGTGATTCTCATGCAAGGATTTTAATTCTTCTTGCATTGTTTTCAGCCACTCATATTTCTTGTCATGTGACATAGCCTCTTGATAAGTCTCTGGCTCTCCCCATCTGTTAGCATCACATACTCATATGGAGGATACCTAGTGGAAGGTTTTCTCTCTAGTTGATCTTCTAAGTTGAACCTGTGGTAAAGGAATTGGAGATACATGTTCATTCTATACTTCCTATTAATTTTCATTTATAGGAGTTTCATCACTAACTGTATCATCATGTTCATTTGGTACAGCTCCCCCATGATCACCATCAATTGTAGGTGGAAAAACCGGATCTAAGTTAATTGGAACATCAATAGAGAATTTTGACTTATCAATTTTCTCTATATCTTCAACTGTTTGATCCTTAAGCAACATCTCTGCTTATGATCACTTTCTTGTCCACTGGATCCCATAACCTATACCCAAACTCTTCGTACCCATAGCCTAAGAAGATGCACTGTTTAGCCTTATCATCAAGTTTGGATCTTTCATATCTAGGAATATGAACAAATGCCCTACAGCCAAACACTTTCAAATGACTATATGATATGGCTTTCCCTATCTAAACTCTTTTAGGAGTATTTCCATTCAAAGGAACTGAAGGAGAAAGGTTGATGAGGTCAACTGTAGTTCTCATATCCTCACCCCAAAAGGATTTGGATAATTTAAAATGAGAGAACATGCATCTGATTCTATCAGTAATTGTTTTGTTCATTCTCTTTGCTACTCCGTTATGTTGAGGAGTCTTAGGAACACTTTTCTTAAGCCTGATACCATGGATCCTACAATATTCTTCAAAAGGACTCCTATATTCACCACCATTATCAACTCGGATGCATTTCAACTTATTATCTGTTTCTCTCTCAACTTTGGTATGAAAATACTTGAAAATATCCAATACTTGATCCTTAGATTTCAAGGCAAATGTCCACACTTTTTTAGAGTGGTCATCAATAAATGTCACAAAATATAATACACCACCAAAAGATCTATCTTTCATGTAACAAACATCAATGTAAACTAAATCTAAAACATGAGGCTTTCTAGATGGAGAAAATTTATGAAATGCAACTCTACTCTATTTGCTAGTTAAGCAATGTATACATGTTTCAAGAGGCATACCTTTCACATCAGGAAGAAAATTTTATCTAGAAAGTATTTGATTCCCTTTTTCACTCAAATGTCCAAGCCTCTAGTGCCAAAACTCAATGGATGAATCATGAATTACATTCACCTCTCATTTGCTCAACCTTGCTTGCATCACATAAATGGTGTTGTCCTTCTTTCCCTTTTCCACAATGAGTGAGCCCCGATAGAGCTTTCATTTTCCATCGCTGAAAATATTTGCATAATTTTCACCATCTAACCTGCTAGTGGAAATCAGATTTAGGCAAATATTAGGAACATGTCTAACATTCTTCAAAATTAATTTGCAATCAGTATTGCTATCTAAACAAATGTCTTCCATGCCAACAGTCTTGGATGTACCAGCATTCCCTATATGAACATGTCCAAGATCACTTGTAGTGTAAGTTGTGAAAAATTCACCATGTGGAGTAACATGAAAAGAAACACCCAAATCTATGACCCACTCATTGCCTGGGCATGCAAAGTTGATATTATCATCACAAACAATAACATCACCCTCGGCTGCAATAGCTATAGTATCTTTTTCTTTTTTCTTGTCTTCACCTTTCCCTTTGGCTTGTTTTCTTTTTCAGACTCTACATTCATTTTTGTAATGTCCCGGTTTACTACAGTGATGACAAATGATATTTTTCTTAGACCTAGACTTTCTTCTGGTTTTATCATATTTGTTATGAGAACCTCTGCTCTTACTTCTTCCCTGTCTTTCTTTCTTTTCTATTACAAGAGCTTGAGATTCTAAGTAAGTCCCTTGTTCTTTCCTCCTTGACTCTTCATTCAACAAAGCATCTTTGATTGTGTCAATGGTTACTATACCATTAGGGGTTGAATTACTGATTGAAACCACCAAGGTTTCCCAACTATCAGGCAAGGAACTAAGTAACAATAAGGCATGCACTTCATCATCCAGATTCAATTTCATAGTAGTCAATTGATTTATCTAAGCTTGAAAATCACTCAAATGTTCAGACATATTAGTTTCATTTTTATATCTCAAGTGTGCTAGTTTTCTAATCAAGGCAACCTTGTTTAAACATGTTTTCCCTTCATACATAGACTTATTTTTTCCATAAAACATCAGCCTTAGTTTCTTGTGCAACATGGTGAAAAATACTGTGGTCAATAGATTTGGCCTATAGTTTTTCTATGCATGATTCCCCATTCATCACTTGACTTATCACTTGGCTTTACTTCATCACCTCTTATGAGTAGGTACAAATCTTTGCAATAAAGAATGTCCTCCATTCTGGGTTTCCAAATGGCATAATTTGATTAAACCAATTTTATCGTAACACTCGAGGATTCCTCCATTTGTATTAACAAAAACAATTAATTTCAGCCAACCTGGCTCTGATACCACCATTGGGCAAGTTACCCTATAGTAGCAGAAATGAATGTAAAACCAATCCTAAGACAGCAAGAATCTTTCCCCCAAATTTGTGTGTCAAAATGGATTTGCCAACAACAATAATAACAAGTAAACAATTCATCCAAGTAACTAAAAAACAGATAACAATCACGACACAATAGCACATAAGAATTTTTATGTGAAAAACCCCAAAATCGGGAAAAAACCACGGGACCTATGGTCCATAAGAGTCTTCCACTAATTCAAAAATTAATGGATATAATAGTCTTCTCTAGTTGAAATTAGAAGCTTACAAACACCAAGAAAACAATTCTTAGCTCACAAGAACAACATTAACATCACCAAACGCAAAGTGGATACAATACAAACATAAGTTTAGATCTCACCAGGTTACTATAAATCTGAACTGAGAAGTAGAGAAAATGAAGAAGAATCACCAAATCCGAACTGGAGTGGGATTCTTAACTCCAACACTTAATATCATCAAGAACGGGCTTGAAAAGCACCTCTAAACTTGATCTTGAATGAAACAAGAGCTATCTTTTTCCTCTTCTTCACAAAACTCAAAAAACCAGAAAAAAACCTTTCTTTTTGGTTCTGTATTTTTTTTTCTTCTTTGTTTTCTCTTTTCGGTGGTTACTAATTTGACGCCACTCAAATAAAAAAAAAACCGAAAATGTGGTGACCACTTTACCACTATTCGGTTCCCTTTTCTTTAGGGAGCAAATAAAGGTGGGTGGGCCCCTCCATATGGGCTGGATCCACACCCAACACTTTGTTCATGGCTTTTCATAGTTCCTACATAACAAAAGAAAAAAAAAAAAAAAAAAAACTTTTATCTTTCTTTGCACTTCTCAAGCACCAAATTGACATATGGTATGGTCATTTGCACCTTCCGTATTGGTTGATGCACCGAGTTTGGTCTTTGTCTCCATACTTACTCTCCACAAATAGGAATGTGATTGTTTCCTCTTCTGGGATGCGTTATGAAAAGATCTACCCTACCAGTTTTTTCCCTAAATTTGGAGCTTCCCATCTCAAGCATTTCAGTTTTCTCTCTACCTTTTGGTCATTGCAGTAAGCCCAAAGAAGGAGACTGGAGAACTTAGGAATAAGTCATAGTTTAGGTATGGTGCATCAGAAATTAACTAGAATTTTATTCCCATAGACAAAGTACTTTTGTATTGGAATATTTTATCTCGGTTTGTAGTTACTCAATGGCTGGTCGGCCTATCAATTTGCCCCTGGAAGGAGTACAAATACAAATAGGTACAGTACAAATCCATACAAAATAATATAAAATACATAGTTTTGCACTCTATAAATTATATTTGTACTCCTTCCAAACTGAGCCTAATGGGGTCGGATTCTAATTTAAATCGGGCAAATGGATACGGCTCGCAGCCCTATCATTTAATTTTATACACTAGAAAACAAATTAAAAAACAAACAACTCAGTTCAGCCAAACAACCCCCCAAGGATAGATACAAGGCTGAGCTGAAGGACCACCATCCTTCCTCAGCCTTCAGAAGCTCCCCCCTGACAATGTCTTCTTTCTAATCTAGTACATCCAAGAAATCAGAAGTCAGTGGATGTATGAATAAATCCAAGCCTTTGCTTGTTGTTGTTGCAAAGGCGAGTTGGAATGGGGAAAGAAGATGATGAGCTGAGGACATTGATGCAGGGAGGAAGATGACAATGGTCTACTAGTAGTTGAAGTTACTTGTATGGGGAAGACACTTGGATCTGTCAAACTCATCATCTAGGTTGGATACCTTTTTCAGGAATTTAACAAGTCTGTTGCATTGATGCATCCAAGACGATGTTCCAGTTTGGATTATAGTTTGGCTAGCTAAAGTAACACAAAATGTTGTTAGACCAGGATTGGATCGGATGGTCGGATTGCTGGCCGGTTGGACCAGAAATCAGTAGTGGAAGCGATTTTTGTGATGCCCAATTCTTAGCAATATTGACCCTGTCTAACTTAGGCAAAATATGTGTTCATGGGTGTTTAGAATATATATTGTTTTAAGCTTATTTTGATGTAAATTGTGCAACCATTTATTTTTTTATTTTGGTATGATTTGTTTCATTATTTGAACCAGTCAAGTGGTTGAACCAGATTGTGAACCATTCAACCCATGGTCCAGTGGTGGAAATGGTTTTACAACCCATTGACGTCCTATATGGGTTCCTTCTCTCAGGGATTGGGGAAGAAACGACTAGTGACAACGAAGGTTGTGGAGAACAGGAGTAGTCTTGATTTGATCGATGGGGTATGACTGGTAGGTGGTAGGGTGTTTCTTTACCGTGTTGATATTGCAATCAGAAATACATCCATCCATTTACTCCCTATGCTTGAATTTTGCAACATATCGATGCGTATAATACAATATATATATATATATATATATATATATATATATATATATATCAATTTTTGTATCCACCGAAACGCAAAATACAGAGAGCTAAGGGGGTTCTTTATGTCTAAACAATAAAACCCCATGAAAACCTCAGGCAATAAAAAAAGGTCCTGTTTGTTTGCAGTGAAAAACTGAATTGGGTACAGATTTTGAACCCGGTTCAGTCTCGCATATGTTTGTTTGTAACCATAACTTGCGCTCTTCCTGATGCAAAATTTACACCACTTTTCTCTTACATCAATTACCTCTCATTTGAAAACCAAATCATCCTGCTTCTTACTTCTTACCTACATTATTTTACTTCTCACAAACAAACAATACAAAGTCAAATATTTCTCTTTCAAAAAACATCAAATATAAAGCAAAAGTAAATATATGTTGTATAGATATTTTAAACCTTAATCTTTAGTAATTACATGCCCAAATCCTAATGGGTGCGCATGAATTGATGGGCCAATGTCAGACTCACAGGGACAATCCCATTGGCTGATGCTTCTCCGGCAAATAGTCTACTCTCGTGATCCCTCTCAACTGCCCTAGCTTTCACAGAGAGAGAGAGAGAAAGAGGAGTAATGTTATTTTGTATGGTGTGGGAGACTCCATGGTACAAGTCACTATCGGTGCAAGTTGTGAGGTAGGATCATTTCTGTAAAGACAGGTCCAGAAAAGAACAAGCTGGCGTTGCTATTCGTTTTCTTTCCACGTTTTACCAGCAATCCTCCAACTCCAAGTTAAGTAAAGCTTCTTAATCACTATTTCAGTATTTCATCTCTCTCTCTCCCTCTCTCACGCTCACATCAAACACCTGGCGTTGCTTCACTTGTAATTATTTTAATGTATTCTTTTTTCTTTAAGTCGCTGAGTTTTGTCAAAGAAGGGGAGAGGGTCCTCACATGGAAACAAATGAGATTCTAAGCCCCCACCACCACCCAGACCCAACCGACACGGTCGGTCAATCGCCTAATCCCGATTCCCACAAGTAAATACCAAATGCCAGAGAAGCGCCAACTTCAGATCAATAAACCAAATAATGCGAGTGAAATTGGGTCTCCCAGAGAGAGAGAGAGAGAGAGAGAGAGAGGGGGCTGAAAATTCCAATTCCACTAAACAGAACAATTACAAAATTTCGCTGTCTATGAACAAGAAAAGAATTTCCTTCTTTTTTTATTTCATCATTGTTTTTATCAACATTTCTCCACAAATATCAGTCCCTTTCTTTCTTGTTTATTTCATCACTGAAATACTGCTTCTTTGTCCCCAGAAACCACCATGACCATCCATGTCTTCTCCCCTCCTCTCAGGGCACAGTTACAGGACCGACACCAGAGAGGAAAGAGATTCACTACAGCCCCATTACACCAACAACAAGAACCAAAAAATATATTTCTTATGTACTCAGATAGTGTTTATAGCTAATAGTAATAACAGTGGAACCTTCCTTTATTCCCCCACCCCTTCCCCCCCCTCCATGGCTGGAAATTCTGAGATTCCAAAAGAATCTCACTCTTTCCTGATTTCCCTTCTTCACCACTCCAACTTCAACCAGGGGAAGAAAAAGGAGGAGAAAATAAAACAATATCAGGAAAAAAAAAAGAAAACCCAAAAAAAAAGCAGAAGAAATCAACCGTTCTTCTACACATCTTCCATTTCCAGGACTTTATACATCCTCCTACTTTTCATGAATCACGAAGCATCTGCATTACAGAAAAAATAATACATTTATTAGCATCAGAACAATAGTTTTATAATAAACTAAAACTTATTAAAATAGAAGCAAATTACTAAGTGTCCAGAGTCCAGACAACACCCAAAACATAACAGTCTGGATCCCATCCCACCAGACCCAGACTGTCGGTGGCCCAAATAATTTAATGGAACAAGATTTGTTAATTCGAACCAGAGCTTGACTGGGTCATTGGGGGCTGGTGGCCTGATCTTGGGGGTCAACTAGGTGATCTAACCAAGTTAACTTCACACCTCAGTAAATAGTCAGAAAGTACTCCATGAAAATTTCTTTTGATCAGACGATCGAACCTGTGACCAAGTCAGCTTTCTGGTCTGGTTTCCGATGATTTTGGTGGTCTCAAGGAAAAATCACTGGTTAAACTACTGACCCAGTGAGATTTCTGATCTGGGTCATACCAGTGTGGGTCATACCAGATCAATCCAATTACACCAAGTCACCAACCAGCCAAGCAGCAACTAGAACCAAATAATTGAATGAAAGTAAACAAACAATAAAGATTAGTAACTTGATTGTTCAACCAAATCAAAGCTGACTTCTCTCAGAGCTACAGCCAGGCTTAAATCACTAGAGCCGGGCGGGTCTGTCCATGCATTGACCAAACATCCAGCCAGCCTACCTACTCCTATATTCAATGCTTAATCATTATGGGTGTTTGCAACCCAGAATTTTCTGTCTGAGGGTTAAAAATTCTCTTGGATTCTTGCTCAATCAGTCACAATTAACAGAAGAAACTAATGAGACGAGGGTAGAAATTGTACCTTTTTTGTGTTTTTTGTTTCTGCAATATGATTTTGTATAGGAGGGGGACTTCATTGGCAAGAAGTAAACCGAGAATCCTGTCCAAAGACCCCTAACATCCTACACGTTACTTCCATCAACTTCCCTGCAATTTTGTTCATTCACAAACAACAGTAAACCTTAGTATCCATTCTTCTCATACACTAATCAGGTCTGGTTGTTCAAAGAAATCAATCTCCATTTTTAAAGCTTAATCTAATTAACCCATTTGTTCAGGATTAAAAAAGAATTCAGAAAGCAAACAAAACAAATCAAGAGAAATAAATAAGCAAAACCAGGATATGAGTAAACGACAGCCTGTTTGGTGTTTGATGTCATGAAGATGGGGCAATTCAGTCAAGAATTCCAGAATAAAATCACTTCACCATTTCTTTGTTAGCATCCCACAGCTGGATTTTGTGTGTCTCTTTCCCTCCTTCCTCTTTCCATGTTCATTTCCCATTCTATCCCTCCAATCTCACCGATATTACTACCTAATAAGCTGACCCCCTAGAAATTACAAATTTCTTCCTCCCCAAGATACCCCAAAACTATTACCACCAAACCTGTGATCTCTGCAGGCTGTGTTTCGATTATGGGTAGTGGTGTGGAATTCAAAAAATGGACAATTCTCTTCAATTAGGGGGATTTCGTCTTCGATTCCCTCTCACTTATCCAAACAGGGGATTTGAGGGATTACTCTGCTAATATCAAACTGTAAGCTAATGAGATGACAACTTGACCAACTAAAAAAGCGAGCTCGAAAAAAAAAGTCTAAAAGGTTTCTATTCGTTCCTGAAATCCCCAGCGTCGAATCTTATCACGGGCTAACATGAATAATAATTATTCAACCTGAAAGATAATCTCACCACATGAGGCATAATCCGACACACCGACACTCCCCCAACTCCGGCATGGCAACCGGAATCTGACACATTCCACCGGACTCGGAATTCTATCACACATTTTGGGTTCGGCCGATATTCCTAACTATTGCAGGTGCACAGAAGAACAGGAAAGATAAGTAAGAATGAAAAAAAAGAGAAGGGCGAAAACACAGACCTCTCCTTAACGTGGTGACAGTCTTAGTGGGCTTCGTTATTTTCTTCGTCGTCTTCGTTGATGTAGTTTCGGGTTTGGGCTTCTCTTCCAGCGGGAAAAGTACCCCGTCGATGCCCTGCACTGAAATCCGGCCGTCTGTATAGATATCAGGGTCGAACAGGTAGGCCGACCCCTCCCCATGCCCGAATTTCACAGTCCCATCAGCTTCTTGCGCCACCACCTTGTGCGGCAGCCGTAACGTGTCGTATCGGACCTTCCCGAATCTTTTCACCGCATTGTACATGCTCTCCTCCGTCTGGTACTCCGGGATGAGGTGGTAGTACATGATCTGCTCCGGCGCACCCGGTTCGCTCAGCTGGTCCGTCGTCAGCTTCGCCATGGCCTCGTCGTTCGGGGCAAGAACGGTCAATACGTATCCCTCCGACACCAGTCTCCCCATCTCGGTCGCTAACGAGGTGAGGTTCACCAAAATATCGGCCATTTCGTTGTATCCACCGTAAAGCAGGAGAGTCTGGATGAAGTCCTTTACCTGGCTCTCACCGTCGAACCAATGGTGTGGTCCTCCCGGCCCTGGAGCAGGGGCTGGTGCAATAGATGGACCTGGAGCCAACGCGTCGTAGATCGGGAGCGCGGGGGGCGAACCGGCGGGGGAAGGCGGCGCCGGTTTCTTCAACCGGTGGGTCCTAGGATCGACCTCTGGTGCTCCCTCAGGTAACACGGCCGAGATGGAGCGAAGGCTCCGGCGACGGTTGAAGTCTTCCTGCACGGATCGTGGAACCAACAGCCTTTCAATCCCGTGGATCACACCGTCGGGGCGGACCACGGCGTCGGGGTGGATGACGGTTGCGAGATCAACAATTTTCTTGTCGGAATCCTTGCAAGTCAAATGGAGGTGATGATTGGAAAGCGTCTGGTGATGAACAGACTCAGCAGATAATTTAGGCCATTTCTCCGATCCGATTCGTTTCGGTATGATGTGGAACAGCAAAAGGGTCTGAAGAGATTTCAGGTTACCAGGCTCCAGGAGGAATCGCTTGAACTCAGGGTCAAGCTCACGCTCCAGAGCTTCATTCCTCGGTGCAAAAATGGTGATATTGTGCTTGCCAACCGCATCCTCTAGGGTTTGCAAGAGGAGAGCTTTCTCCACGAGCTCGGCGAGTTCCGTGTAATGTGAGTCAAGGAGAGCCACGAGGACAGAGTTCGAGTTGATTTGACCAGAATTCGACGGGGACGACGGCTTTAGACTGGGGTTTTCCGGCAATGCAGCAGAGGCTCCAGCAATGGAGAAGAGGAGAAGTCCATAGAAGAGCTTGGAGACGCCATAGATCTGAGAATCCATGGCGATTGAAGAGAGAAACCAGTGGCAGAAGTGGAGAAATTCACAGAAAAAACCAGACCTTCGCTTCTCCAAACCAAAGCCTGCTTTTTTCTTCTCCTTTCCTCTTTGCTTGGCTACTCTGGTTTTCGTTTTCTAGTGCTTTTCTTTAATGCTTCGGATTTCAAAGTGGGGTTATTAACTGGGGTTGGTAAAGGCCCGTTAGTTCCGGTGAGATCCAAGACGGACACGTGGCAATCGCAAGACGCAACGCTACACTTGAAGCCTCGGAGTAGAGAGGTAGCCAGGTGGGCCCTTCCGACAGTCTGGAGCTGGGGCCACAAGGAGTCTCACGAGTCACGGCTCGCGCGATCAAGCTGCGCTGTTGTAGGCTTGTATTGTAGCTCTGAGTTTTTGACTCAAAATGACGTTATCTGCCCTCCCGAGGATGCGGAAGCGGTCTCGACGAAGGGAGGATAATTTTGTCATTTCAGTTGTGGCGTTTCAGCGAGAGAACGGCTCGGGGCCGCTGGGGAAAAGTGGGGGCCACCTGTTCGCGTCGCTTGTAATTAACTGAGAGGAAGGAAGAAAGCTGAGCTGTCATTGTCTGACGTAAGCCACAAAAGCCTGTTTTTCTACAAAAAGGGAGAGAGAGAGAAAGAGGAAGAAACGGCTAGGCTGACGGAGACAGCTCTCCTGCCGGGAGATCGTTAGTCCCCGTCAAGTTAACCCGAAGTGGGTGGGCTGTTAACCTAGGGTTAAGAGGTGTGCTTAGGTCGGAAATCAGAATCTCTGAGTGGTGAGTGCGAGGTTGTATCGTGTGTCGGTGGCTTCTCGCCTTGTCCAAGTTTGCTTGGCTTCCTCTCTCTTTCTCATTCTGAAGCGCTAGGATGGAGCTGGAAATTCTAGAAGACCGTGTAGCAATAATGAAACTGTGGAAGCTAGACGATCCACTGCTTTCCTACATGGCAGCTCACATAGACACCAAAAGTTATGTGTTTGCCACGTTATCATCCACGTGGCAATACAGAGATGAAGAAATTCATTTTTATGAATCACCGCCATTCTCGACCACCCCCTAGGTGTTATTTAGGTTGTTTATGTATGCTGTATTTTCGTTGAGATTGAATGATTATATTACATTTAAAATATGGAATATTTATGAGATTATCAAGATCAAAGCTTTGAAAGGCAACGTATTAGTACATTTTTTAAAGAATAAGTTTTATTGGTAGACCCTGAAACTACCATGGCCAGAATCAACTTTGGAATTGATTTTATACATTATTTCAATCATATATACATGGCGAATTTCTACAAGGTAAGGCTATGTACATGTATCCATGGTTTTTAAAATCAACCTGGAGATCGAATCGGTCAAGGGTCTGGTTATTGGATCCAACAGTCTGACCGTTTGAATCGAACGATTGATTCATTCTAACAAAAAAATAAAAAATAATTAAAAATAAAAACAGTTTAAATGATTAATCGTCCGAATCGGTGATTTACTTACCAAAATCAATAATTTTTGAAAAAAATTCAATTTTTAGAAAAACGAAACCAATCATCCAATTTTTCCAATCCAATCCGGTTTTAAAACCATGCATGCATTCCTTCTAAATCCTTTATTGGCGGGAGCCTCATGCACTGAGCTGTCCTTTTTATACCCTGCCATATAAACATACAGGTAGAAGAGCATGTCTACATAACAATTTCATCAAAGTGGGCACTGGGCTCAAACTCACAAGGAAAAATAATCATTTGATGTTTGATTTTATGTGGTTTGATGCACATAGATTGTGTACATAAGTTACAGAAGATCATGTTTTTTAAACACATCTTACAAGAGAGACCGGATGTACTACTCCACACCACTATGTATCATGGACTTAATAACCGATCACAAGTGAACATGCTACTGTTTATCTGGCCCCATGATGTACTAGTCAACACTAGCGCATTCACTTGTGATTGATTATGTGGTAACTTATAGAATACACCACATTGCAAATGAGTACCACTAGGAATGGCAATGGGGTAGGGGTTATATTCCTCGTTCCCGACTTGATTATGAAATTAACCTCATCTTTGTCTCCGATTCTTGTTGGAATAAAATTTATCCTCCATCTCCGATCCCTGATAGGGATGAATTTTTCGTTGGGATTCAAATTCCTGAAATGTTTTTAAATAATAGTATTTTTTTGAAAAATAAATATACTTAAAATAAATACAAATTTTAAATTATAATTAATGGTTTGAATATATTTAAATTATAAATAATAGTATATATAATATAAATGATATTTAATCAGGGTCGGGGTGAGGCGGAAACCTCAAACCCCATCCTAACCCCGACCTTTATCGGGGATTCCTATTATTCCCCATCCTCGCCCCACCAAAACAATCCCCATCCCCGACCCCATTGGGTTGGGGAAGTCGGATCCCCATTGCAGATGGGGAAAATTGCCATCCCTACTGCACCACCAAGGGTGTGTGGTGAGTTCTAGGGCCATGGTTTTTGAGACACACCCTGGTTGGGCCCATTATCTTGGAATACATCACACTTTTTGTGTCTAGGGTATGGAACAAGCATTAAATCCACTTTCCAAATGAGCTGCCTTTGTGCATATCAAGGAGGCAACAAAGAAAAAACTTTGCTGTCCACAATTGAAGGAATGCACTGTTGGCAGGCTCTCTACTCTCTCCACATGATATGTTAGTTCATCCAGCATTTTAGTTCATATCAAGGTTCTAAAAGGCTAAAGGCAAAGGCAAGGCAGTTGGGTGTCATGAAGGTGGGGCATAAGTTTTGAGATGGTTAAAGGCATAAGCCTCAAAGTGTAAGTATAATTTTATAATTTTTGTGTATATAAATACAACATAGTGTATGTGTGTGCATGTGTGCATTCGAGTAAATATATTCATTATAATATGTTAATAAAATTGTTTTGTTTCTTTTTATAACCTTTGTCATCTAATTTAATAATCTATATACAAGATAAATATTTGTAATTCTTATGCATTTAAGGATATGATTTATTCATTTCATTGCAAACTTTTATATTTACTTACATATTATAAATGTTTAAATATTAATTGTATATACGTTTTTTGAAATTTTATTTTTTTAGTTTGTTTTATGGTTATAACCATCCTTATGAAAATGAAGTAATTCATTTACTTAATTTATCTCATTTTCTAGTTTATTCACACACATAATTGAATTTATTTATAATTTCTTTATTCATTTTTTGGTATAATTTATTTTTTATAGTTAATTTATATATTTATTGTTCATTATATGTATATTCTATTTAATATAATTTTTTGAAATTTTATCCTATAAATAATCTCTTTTACTTAATATTTTTATGTATTATTGTATTTTTCAATATATCCCAATTTATAAATAGTGAGAAATGTCTTATATTAGAGAGGATGAAAAATTAATACTAGCAAAAGTGGGGGAGGGGTTGCCAAAGTAGAGGCAAATGAGTTGAAGGAGACTAGAACGAGTTGCGATCTCCTACCAACAAAACACGTTCTAACACCCTACCAACTTGACCTAACACGGCACATCTCACTATAAAATTGGGCTCACCATAAAAGTGGAACTTGTCATGTATGAGATATACGGTGTCAGATGATGTTGGTTAGAACCCCCTTTTATAACAAGAAAAGTGTTGGAGGGTTCATGTGGAGTTCAGGGGTAGAATCCCCAATCCAAATATTATGCAAAATTTGTTTGTACAATGACCATATAAAGGTATTTTTGGTAAAATATGTTTGAATTAATTTACCAAAAACAAATACTAGAGAATATTTTTTTGTATCATATAGAATTTCTTTATTCAAACTAAATGGCTTATAAGTAATTTAGAGTGGATAAAAAATGTTTGATAATTTTGTTCAAATTTTTGCTATATTAATATTTTTGTTCTATTAACTTTTATTAAAGAAAAATTATGGCTATTAGTCTATTACTATAGTTTTTTTTTTTTTTTTTTTTTTTTTTGTAAATTGGTAGATCCTACCATCATGTTTCATAGATAATTAAGCATGCGAATGGAGATGCTATTAACACATGTGGTACATTCAAAAGTATGATGGATGTGAGATTTTAAGGTATACTTGGTAAGAGAAAATCAAAGATATATTATTGGATTAAGAGGGATATTATGATTTATGAGAGAATTTTAATTTTAATTGTTTTATTTTACTCAATCCAATTAAATAGACAAGTTTTCTTCTTCATTTTGAAATTTGGAGAATATCGTCACTGGTATATTTTAGAATTTTAATCTTTTAGTTATTCTATATAACATGTAGTCTGAGCAAAACTGAGGTGATAGCCTCTTAATTTATACGGGTACAAAAAAAAAAAAAAAAAAAAAACTCTTAACTTGTACATAAAGCTTAGTTTGGAAAGAGTACAAATACAAAGTTATACGCTGTACATATTTGTATTTGTACTCCTTCCAAGCTGATCCTAAGGCGTTTGAGGCTAGGCATTTGCTAAGCTGTCCACATGTAGACAGCCATTTTTTTTTCAGCAAGGACATTACAAGTGTGCAATAGGAATATCTGGACATCTCCTCATGGAGTTTGGATCTGCTCCTCACAGAGCACACCTCACACTGACCTCACGGCACGTTTCGGCCCTGTACCTAGAACATCTCGTACTTGTAAATTTTTAATTAATGGGGAGATGTTTCAGATGCACAGCTGAAACGTACTGTGAGGTCGGTGTGATGCACACTCTGTGAGGAACAGATCCAATTTCCTCCCCATGACAACTAAAGGGGTGTTCTACAATTTGAATAGTTTTTTATTTTTTTTGTCGGCTTAAAAAATAAATCAAAGTCATCTGGCTTGAAAACAGATTGTTTCTCAAAATATAAGAAAAAAATAGTTTTGTTGTGTATTTGTTTTTTGTGTTCAAAACCATATTCTTGAATTTCTAGATTTAAAAACATGGTATGGTTATTGGATCTCATGTTGTATAAATCACGATTTCTATATTACAAAATTTGTTTTTGTTTTAGTAAACATTAGTTTGATGGTTTCAAGAATGCATTTTTGTTTTTCTTTTCTGATGTGGTGATTTCAAAAACAAATGAAAATAAAAACATTTATGTTCAGAATGCCTCCTCCTAAGATGTTCTTAA